CCCTTTTTTAAGTTAGAGCTTGTTTTAGGTGTCTTCTGTTTCAGGTCGTTTCAGTGATCCGCGAAATTCGTCAGTGCCGCCCGAAGTCCTTACCTGTACGCAATATCAAGACAAAGGAACGTCCCTCTGCAAGTTTCGTGATACAACAAAGACCGGCCACGTGGTGAAGACTCGTACGCCATTCGGACCAGCTGGAATGTACTTGACATTTATTTGATAAGTAGACCCTATTATTTCCCGTACTTTAGAGCATATCCTTGTAATGTAATTTTCTTTATTTAATTGAGTGGTGTAAGTTAATTTATAAGTTTATAGCCGTATTATTAATTTAGTTACAAGTACTATAAATGAAAGTAAAGTATAATATCCCATACATTTGTGTCATTATTTGGTAATAGTCCAACTCGAGAAAAATAGGGGAATTTGTCCACCCTTGGCTTATAGTTGAAATCGTGAAATCTGATTTAAATTGGCAGTTTATAAAATATGACACAGTTATGTAGCTAAGACAATGCCGGTTCCGGCAATGTGCCAAAGTAATAATTACACGTATCATATAAATACAACTGTAGGATTTATAAATTCGACCGCAGGACGCACTGTATCATTCGTGATAATAACTTCAATACCCTACAAACGTCAGGGTGATGTCATAGTTTTCTGTTATATCACGTGAAGTTACGACATTACGTCATGTTGATATCTTATGACACGATGTAGGTATACTATTACGTTAAGAGGAAACTTTATTATCTGATGTTTATAATTCATTACGCCGTGTAGGTATATAGAATGATGTAAACATTTTGTTATATAGTGTGGAAACTGTATTATCATGTCGATATACCATTGCTTAGATACATCATGACATGATGTAGATATACTAATATGTGAAGACAAAGCATATTATGCAATGTTGATATATCATCACTTCATGTAAATATATCATGGTATGATGTGTATGTATAATATTATGTGATTAGCAAGCGTATTATGCAGTGTCGGTGTATCATTACGTAGCGTAGATATATGCAGACTGTGAACTGACCGACTTTAAACCTTACAAGTGACCGCGCTGTTCTCCAGGGTATGTGTCCTACTATGTTCATGGCATAATTCTACTACACATAAAATCATATCTACACCACGTAATGATATATCCGCACCATGTTATGTCAATATTACGATACATCACATCTCATAAGAAAACAAATATGCTGTTAATAACGTCAAAGATAATCGCGAGTATACCAGACTCTCAGCCAGGACATGGGAATAACGCCAGAGAAACGATTAAGATTAAATGACTATGATGACGAGTTGAACAGCTTACCTCTATACAAGACACATTATTATACATCTGTCACCGTAACGCCATCATTATAAGTTACAGCGTGCCGTAATTTTGCTATTTTTTACGGGGTAATTTCATCCTACTATATAAGGAAATGCGAATTCCAAATATTGAATGATTACGCGCGTAAGCATCCTCTAATAATAAAAACAAACATGGCTGTCACCATGGTTTGACCGGACTCCACACAAAGAAGTTCGCTGATTCTGATATAAACATTCTGGATATCGGCATTCCCATGACATATACTTGGATGAAAAAGATGTATAATAATAATAATGTTACTACGAGGATACCTCAAAGTATGCACTCAGACAGTATGCCGTCGCATCGACCTCTGCTGCTTGTCGGTCGATACGTTCGCTGTACTGTCTTCGTGCATACTTTGATGTATCCTCGTAATAACCTCATATAATAGTGTAAATATATTTCATTAAATTAGTGGTGGTTGATTACATCGTCGTTATAATGTTGACAAGCAGTGTGGTTATATGTGTGTGTGTAACTCAGTTATTGACTGTGTTAACATGCGAGCATATTATATGATTATTCCCAAAATACTCTATATTAACTTGCTGGCTGTTGTTGAATTGTTACAGCAAATTTTGCACGTACATTCTGAATGGTGTTTCGTTTGTTTGCACATCCCTCTTTAAAAGACGCCAAGTATTTTTATCAAGATACATTTGTTCGGACAAGGCTGAACAATGAATCATTATTTATTACAGTAATGACAACTTTAAAAGAATTAACTGTATCTACTTTTCACAAGTTCTGGCAAATTAAAACCATTGTATGTTGGATTATCCGCTCTGAATTACACGTGTGAAATTATACTTTGCATTGCTGGGCTAAATTACATTATTTTAAACGTAAAGTACAATATCAATAATAAGAAGGCATTTGAATAAGCCAAAGCAAAGACAATTGATGCTCAAATGCGCTGAACAAATCATATAAAATATTCAATCATAGGTAATGACGATAAGTCGTACAAAATAGTTGTTTTACTTCCGTTTAGAAATTTCAGTGCTCCACTTTTTACAAGGTCTATATCAAGGGAGCGGCATAATAAAAAGTAAGCTGTACAAAAGTTGTTGTGGTAGCTGTTGGTGTATTCAATAAAAGTGTATTATCTGAGAACAGACTGTGGTACTTGACCACAATGGTGTAAATTCTGTTGTATTAAATAATCTATTATCCACACTATATTTTTATCATTGTTTACATACCGTCTACAACTCATCTCAATTTTAGCTAAATCTCACTACAGTGCATCAATAGTTGTGTTGGTATGGTTACAATATGGGACTTCACATTTATTTCAGATAATGTTTTTCATGATAGAAGAAGTAGTCGCAGAGTAGTACATCATTAACCAGTAAATAAATAATAATTGGAAAGTTTTCTCATTAATGTTGCCTTGACCTATTCTTTTATAGATATATTGCAGCCACTTATGAAACAAATTCGTCAAAACGAAAGTATAGCGCAGTATTATTTAGTTGTAATAGTGAAGGGGCGATTCCAAAAAGTCGGTTAAGAGAGACATGGTTTCGTTATTGTAAGTAATTGTGATTTTAATTTAGAACTGTTTACAAATAAATTGATGTCAGTATTCTTGACAGTAAAAACGCTGAACGTGGCAGAAATCATAGTACGTAATTGATTGATTTATTGCCAGTAATGTGATCTCGTGGTAGTACAACAGAGCACCCGGAAGAGATT